AGAGCATCCTGCTCAATGCAAGCCACGCCCTAGGTTTTTCAAAACTAGAATTTTGAGAGTTTTTAAAATCATTTTTCCAATAGGCTCAAAACTTCAAAAAATCGCTTAAAACGAAACAGTCTATTATCAAACCTTGCTTCTGCAAAGTATTCAAGCGCTTACCTTTTTAAATTACCTTATCTAGAATTTTTGCCACGTCTAGAAAAACCATAGAAATCGGATTACGCTTTGTGTCCAAAATTTCTGCAAATATTTCATCAACTACGGAATGATTTGGTCGGAATATGACTGCTGTAAAGGGGAAAAAACCGTATCGGAAACCATTCAAAGCATTTGCCTATTTACATTCTACCTAATTTGATGATAGGTTTACAGGGGAGATACGAAGTTCTCATTACTTTTGACTCACCCAGTATATATCGTTTGTTCCCCAGCAAGATTCCCATAGGTACCACGTCATCTCGTTGCCTTTCGCACTTTTGAACGCGTTAACCTCGAGCAGTTCCGTTGAAATCTCAGGACAAACGTATTGAAAAGAGCGAAAGGCAGCGTCGCACCACGTACACACCTGGTTCACATGGGGAACTTTTCTGGGGCACACAGGATATGTGGCAGTTTAGAGAGTACCAAGAACCATGCTTCGCAGTAGAGTTTTGCTGAGTCACGCCTTTGCATGTTTGCAAACCTCCGCCTAGCGTACACCGGGAAGGCGACGACACTAAAGGCGATATCTATTGATCCCCTATATAGGAAGGAAATCCTGTACAGGTAACAGCCCACGCGGCACTGGCGCCCGCGATACACGAAGCCAAGCTGGTGATCCGGGCTCTTGTATATTGGCGAATACGGTCCGATCTGGCAAGTTCTACCACACCGGGCACGGGTTGAGCAGCGGAGCCCTACCTGTCGAGATTGGGCTCTGCTGCCCTACTGCCGTGCCCGACATGGCCAAATTTGCCAGATCGTACCACTTTCTGAAGTTTGGTGAATCAGGGGATTGGCGCTCTCGCCTGTCTTGGCTCGTCAAGCCCGAACAGCGAGTTGGCGATTGGTAAGTACCGCCCCAGATTAGCGCCAATGTGTTCAGCACACACTTGCAAACGCCCTGAAGGTGTTCTTATGCTCTTTTCGCGTAAAGTGAGCCGAATCCAAAGCTGACTAAGGGCTTTTACTGCTTATTAGGGCAGCTATTAGGGTGTCTCATAATTTTTTTTATCGTTTTTACCCTAAACATCAGCATTTCTCGAGAACTTGGGCACCTACAAGGATACAAGTACATGATCGTACTTGTATGTATGAGCTGTATGATCACATGCTTGGAAGGAGCTCAGGACGTCTAGAAGTGGAGTTTGCTATTTTACCTTATTCATTTATTTCTTTATTTCTAGCCATGAAAAAAATTCGAAAAGTGTGCAGTCGAATGTGCGATGTGTCAAGCATATGCCAGAATAAGGGGGGAGTTTTTTGGACACTTTGGGGCGGAGTTACGATTTTTCGACTCTTTCAGATTTCAGCTTGAAACTCTATGTGGGATACGATTTGGGTGGACCTTTTATAGACATCTTGTAGAGCTTGCTTTGTCCTGTCGAATGCTACTCAAGCCACATCAGATAAAGGAAAGCTATAAAGAGACGGTGGTTGCAGTAAAAACGGTAAAAAATTATGAGACAACTTAATATATCTTAACCCTCATAAAACTGGAAAATGTATCGAAAGGGACTGAACCAATCAAAATACAAATCGGATTCCTACATACTGTATGCAGTTTTGGAATTCTCACCGTTTAGAGCATCGCCATGATTATCTGCTCACCTTACATTGCTGGTCTTCATAAATGGTCTTGCCTCCGAAACGCTATCTAGTTTACTGCAACTGTATTGCCAAGTCCAAAGCTACTGCGTGCTACTACAACAGCGAACTCCACGAATTTCTAACCACCACATTGCTTGCGAGACTTTCGTTTGTCGAGCGCGTTTCTGGTGTTTCCGCTTCTCGTTATCCTGTATAATCCCTTTACATCAGACACGACCTAGTCTCAAAGGCTTTCCTCTACTAAATTACAGCATCAGTGTGCAGAACCAACCTGTTTTCGCATTAAAAGGGTTGGCGGGGTATTACTTGCAAAGACTTATTGCCCTACCCTGGATCAAGGTAAGAGTTGTGGTACTCAATCGCTAGAAACAACCCCACCCCTATTGATCGTCTCATAAGGACCTTCAAAACTACTGCACGCCTAAGATAGGCATAACTCGAAGGCCCTAATCAAACATAACGAGTAATGTATTCATAATTAGTATGCCCAACCCTTGTGGAGTTCTGAAGTTCACAAATACTGAGCCATGGGTGAAATGGTCATTGTCGAAAATGATCAACTTTGTTGCAAAGGTGAACATACCACCTCTTTTGGCACTCAATACAAAATATTACTTCTTCTTTGCCTATTGCAAAAATCCCGTAAAAACCTTCAAATCGTGGAATTAGAGACCAATAAAATTCGTTTTCCCCATTTTTCGTTTTTGATGGTGTAATTTCATTAAATAGCACTCACAAGGGAATGGTCAAAATTTGAAGTGGCCAATCCAGCAAGCCCTACCCCGTTGGTCACTCCGTGGAGGGCTTGTTATATATCCGCCCTCGGTATCTGCTTATCGGCTTTTTACACGAAATTATGTCCCGATTTCGTCATCGGCAGCCGCGCGTCATAGACAATAATAATTCTTCACCCAGCTAGACGAAGCTAGAAATCAAGCTGGACGCAAAGCGCAGTGGTAGTTGTGCAGACATAGGATGAAAGCTGCGGGTTTGTTTGCAAATTCGATTCCTTTTGCTTTCTATTCATTTGCAACCCATTGCCAATATCTACAGTGTTAGCGCGAAATCCTTAACGCAAAAAAACATAATTCAACATCTAAGGGAAAAACTTTTTTTTTAAATTTGAGAGTGCAGTTTTAGCTTCCTCTTTCTTGCGACTTGCATCTGTTCGTTCTTGCATTCTTATTCATCAACATTTTTATTCTTGCTTTCACCATAATAACCCTTAATTCTCAAGAGAGTCTGAATAATGAAAAGTATGAGTTTACAGCAGCACTTTACAGCAGCTGGTTTACGAGAAATATCAAATTTTTAGCAACTAAGCAAGAAAAATTTGAATGAGAAGAGCTAGATTTGTTATCTCTCGTGAACTAGCAGCTTTAGAAGGCTGAAAATGTGAAGTTTCACTAATAACGGCATGTACTATACAACTGTTAGTGCTAGAACATCTCAACACTAATTTGGCAAAAACATGGAAAACTTTGCTCATAGTCTAGCTGAGAAAAAAATAAGGCAATCGCATGGATGTCTTACGTGGAATGTCTACGCGTGAGCAAGAAAGAATTTTTGTAGGAGTTTTTTCAACAGAGTTACAAATTTGTTTTAATTTCTCTTAAGGTCCTCGGACGCATGGTTTTTTTAGTCTTCGGCTCAAAACTTCACTTGGATCAAAGCTGTTGCAAAACTTCAAGCAATATCTTGTAGAGCTAAGTTTGCGCTATCTAATGATATTATATCGAAATCTATTTGAGATATAGGATTATTCCGGATTATTGCCGTCTGTGCCTATTTTGGTGCAGGAATTATGCATTAATCTAATAAATTAATGCAGAGTCGTACAATAGGTTTAACAAAGGAACGATCCGAACTTGAGGTGGCCCTTCGGATTGAACCACATAGCATTTTATGCGTCTTGATGACCTGATTTCAATCTCACCTTCCTTGTCTACGATGCTGTTCGCTGGAAAAACTCATGAGCGTTCAAAGATTCAAATTTGGCGAACATACAGCGCCACATCCTCAAGAACTAGTTGCTCAAAATCACTTATCCGCGTCTCTGGTACATGTAAGCATTCCTTGAAATCAGTACACTAAATATCTTGCTAGTCTTGCACTCCCAAGTTGGATCTCATAGCACATCATGCATTAGAGCTCTAATGATTTCACAGAATGCGATTAAATGTGTAAATTGCGGAATTTCCAATGCATAATGAGCTTTAACATCCAACTTGGAAGTGCATGATTAGCAAGATATTAAGTGCACTGATTCCAAGGGATGCTCACATTCACCGGAGACTTACAACGTGTTTTTGAACAGTTAGTTCTTGAGGATTGGCGTTGAATGTTTGCCAAACTTGGATCTTAGAACGCTTAGAATTTTTTCCATAGTCCGATCGCTAATAAGGAAGGCAGGTTTGGATCAAGACAAAACTTTTGTGTACTGCTTCCAAGCAGCTTTTTTGATAGAAAAACCTCGATTGAAAAATTATGACAACATTAGAAAATCCCCAACCTTCAATACTATCTGATCATCCTCTTTTTTTGTCAATTTTTCCTTTGCATAAGCATGTCCAGGCAAAATTGACCAGAATTTGCTAAGGTCTGCTGTGGCTCAAAGACAAACCAGTTAATAGTTTATAACTTTGCAGCGTTAAGGGAAGATATTACCATCCAGGAACTTTTGGGTAGAACATAGATTGGATCAAACGCAAGCTTTGTTTGTTTCCTCTTTGAAAAGGCAATTACCGATATTTCTTGTTTCAGAGAAAAAAAACTGTTGAAATTACAGTTGAACAAGCGAAATAGTTGATGACAGAGTTGTGCATCTCGTGCACAACTTTTAGGTTTTATTTTTTGACATAATCAGCGACACTGTCTCTTACAAATCCCTGAGTATTACACATAGCAGAGAAATCAAGGTTGTTGTAATCTCGTAATTTCTCTTGCACGCAGAAGATCATTTGCTTGGGAAAAGGACTGCATGTCGCCGAAAGTAAGAGGGTCCCGCGCAGACGATTTAGCAGATACTCAGCCTGTGCATGCATCAAAAGGTGTATTTGTCGCAGATGTCCAGCGGGACCTCCCATTTCCCGCGACATAGTCGCCCACCCCATTCAAAAAAATTTCGTTTGTTCGTCGTTTTATCAACCGATCTATGTACCGCTTACTTTCCCAGAATATTTTTTCCAGACATACGTCAGTTCGACAAGAATGAGAATTTTCAAACTTACCTTCTTGTTACTTACCATCTCTATGGTAGGTTGACCAAGCAAGACATTTACTTTCTTGTTACTTACCATCTTAATGGTAAGTTGACCAAGCAAGACATGACTTAGTTTGCGATATTACTCCTTAGACTTACTAACACTGTACATTAGTTTGATGCTTACAGATTCTCTCTGCTGTGGACGTTGGTGAATGCAAAGTCAAAGACGTATTGAAAAACATTGGAAGAACGATTGTAAAAGTGGTAAAAACAGGTGCCAATGTCGTCGTAAAGGCGGAGAACGCGATTGATCACTTTGGAGGAAAAATAGTTCCTAAAGTATTAGACAAACTCACAGGACATTGATATTTCATGCTCGATTGTCGATAAACCCTTGCATTGTGAATCAAGTTGTAATACAGGTTTTACGCTGCCGACCAAGATTGATAGCAAGACTTTATTACTCGATAAGCCAACGTTAGCGGTCCGTCCATCTTCATCAAGGCTTCTTGAAAGTCTAAACTTTGAGGACTGCCCGCTATTGTCCTGTGTTGCAGTAGACAGTATAGCTTCTGGTGGAGTGGTAGAATAGATGTGTAAGCTTGACTTCGGCCTTTTCAGATCGGGATATAGAGACCGAACAGCCAGTACTGCGCTGCAGCTGCGCTATGAGTGAGTATGATAGTCGGTGTCAATAATGCTTTTATATGGTTACATAAGATCTCGTATTAGAATCCACTTAGCGTTTGATACGAGAACAGTTCGCTTTATGGCAATGCCTTCATCTTTGCGGTTCATTTTGGTGGTTTAGAAGCTATCCAAAAGGCCTCCACGTTTTGCGGGCTAATAAATCGGATTCGTGCCACAAAATCGTAACAGTGATTTGAAAGTAGTGGTTCTCATGACATGACCTTCGATGTACACCCAAAGGTGTGGACATTTTGGATTTTCTAAGGCGTCAAGATGTCCTTTGATTCTTGTGCACAACGGTCTGCCGGTCTCTCTTATGTATTGATCACCGCATTTTTGACAGGTTATGAAATATACCACTCGCAATTCCATGCAATCGCCTGGTTTCCCAGATCTCGAATCGGCGGTCGTGCACATTCTGTCATGCGCTCAATTGCGGCTTAGTTGCTTTTTGAGATGAGTAGGGATATCTACAACTCTGACGGAATCATCGAAGCCGACTTGAAACGAAGATTTCCTGATAGCTCTGCTGAAACCATCATATACGAAAAATACAAAACGGTATTTTGTTGTCTTCACTTCGTTCGGTCTGCTTTCTTGCCTACAGGGGATGCAATGGTGCACCTTTTGCGGGAAAGCCGTTAGAATACCCAATCTGTTTGGCAAGGTTCATCGATGCATTGCGGTGTTCAACGTTGGATCAAACTGATTCTGCTGCCTGAAAATATTGCCTATTACGGATCGTTTCATGCTCCAAGGATGCGCAAAGCAGTAGTGAATTTTTATATTCTTATTAGCTCGTTTGCGAAATCACTTAGTCATGATCCGTAAGATAGAAACACTTGTTGGTTTAGGGATGCTAGCCAATTTTCGTCGGGTTTATTCCGCGTAAATTTTATGTATAGGCTGTATCAGCCAGCATCGGTCCCGCGCCAGTATGATTTGCGACGACGCACCGTCGCATGCGACGTGCCTTAACGCTTAGCAGAGCTCGCACGCGTCACACCGCATGGTCGCAAGTTGCCGCAGGCGCGACGTCGCGTGACCGATGCTGGCTGGTACAGCCTATAGAGAATTGGCTAGTCAGAATGTCAAAGCATATGTTCATAGCCATTCTCACATCTGCTGTGATCCTGAGCGGTTGCTCTATCGTGAGCTTTTCTTTGCTACATCGATTTCACATCTAGCAAGCCACTTGGCATACATGTTTATTCTTGCGGATTGTTGTTTTACAACGTCACATCAAACTCATCAAGTTCTTTCTTATTAATTCTTGTCTACTTGCCTATACATACTCATAAGGTACAGTTCTTTTCAAATACCTTTCAGTAACCTAATCTTTCTCTTGTGCATCTAAAAGTACCGTTTTCAAGGTAGCTTTATGGGTCTTGAGTATCACATTTACAATGGCTCGTTTCAAGCTTATATTACCTTCTCTGTTCAGAGCCTTAAAGGCACTCAAGAAAAAGAAATCAATCAGTGTTTCTCATGAAAACTCTGCTATTGATGCTCCTGATGTCAAGTGTCGATAGATTTTGACAACCTTTCTGTGGGTGAGATTATCAAATCTATCCTTGATAGAAATACCGATCTCCCTCATAGAAAGGCTAGTTATAGCTCTGATAAACAAGATGCCAAAGGACCCAGAGACTGAAAAAGAGAAAGAAGCATCGTTCTAGCTGAACTCCCTGAATCTCCCATTAACAGACCGTCTTAAAAGAAATCAACAGTTGGAAAAAAATGTTGCACGTGCGGAGCAGACTGATGTGGATTGCTGCCCATGTGAAATCTTCCGATTGGATAAATATGTTGAAGGTAAGACTAGGCTTGTAAAACTTGTTTTTCCGTCCCGCTCTGCGTGGGCTCAAGCCCTTGCAAATATACTTGGATAAATTCGAAATTTTAATCGAACAAGTAAATATGGAATAAATTCGAAAATGAAAAATGTCGAATAAACGAATATCGAATGAATTCGAGGTTTAAAAATTTTCGAATGAATCAATCTTATATATAAAGCTGAATGTCTGTTTGTCTGTCTGTATGTCTGTCTGTACGTATGTTCCGAATAGAAAATTCGATTTCTGAACCGATCGGGACCAAACTTAGCACACATACACTTCGGGCCCCGGCGGGTGTCATAGGCTACTTTTTGTCATCGATCGATATCGATTTTATGATTTTTTGCAAAATTTGAGCTACGGGGCTGGGAGCTGGCACAGGGGGTAATCGAGCATGCTGATCACCCCCGTGATCAGCATGCTCGATTACACCCCTCTGCAAAATTCCAGCCCCCTAGCTCAAATTTTGCAAAAAATCCATATGACATCGATCGATAACGAAAAGCGGAATGTGACACCCGCCGGGGCCCGAGAGTGTGTGCCAAGTTGGTCCGGATCGGTTAAGAAATGGAATTTTCTATTCGGAACATACGGCGGAGTTGGGTAAGCCAGCTAGTTTCGAATAAATTTGAAAAATCAGAAATATCGAATGAATGAACATCGAATATATTCGAACACTGGAAGTCGAATCTCAATTAAATATTCGAACGATTTATCGAATAACTAGAGCAACCATATCTCAAATTTGCATATCTGGCTAAAGCCGATCCGTTCATAATCAGCACCCTCGTACCTCCTATACCAACTCCTAGCTCAAAATTTTCAAAAATTCGCTGAAATCAATGATACAGATTTCGGTTTCAATTAGCATCCTCATTTATCCCCCTATACCACCACGCAACCTCCTAGCTCAAGATTTTCCAAAAATCGACAAAATCGATTAAGTAAATTTTTATCCATAATAGCACCCTCACTTTCCCCCTTGTACTCCCTCGTAAGTGGCAAATCGCGTACAGCTATCACGTGAAGTATGTATGTCATAATCAAAGCTCGCATTTCTCAATGTGGAGCTACTTTGTCCGGGCAGAGGACTATATGTCGCCGAAAAAGGGCGGTCCCCGCGGTCATTTGCGACAAATACGCATCTTTGTACATTCGCGGACATGCGTTCCTGCAGGAAATCCGCGCGGGACTCTTCCAAATTCGGCGACATATAGTCCTCCACCCACTTTGTCCACCTTTAGCCTTACCAGTTGGTAGGCTAATAGCTCCCGGTGTTAAAGTGCCTGCAAGCCTGTGGGACAATCTTGGATGCACTATGATAACAGAACTATCCTGTACTATCTACCGAACAGAACTTTATTGCAAGACGACATAACTGCAAAATTCAGCAACCATCTAATTCTCCCTACCAGGGCTCGGCATGATGTGGCTTGTTCAATTTTTCAAAAACGAAGCCCCCAACATAAAAACAGTCAAGTCGGTTGGAAAAATCAGAAGTTACGATTTTTTGAAAATATTGCGAACGAACTTTCGTGCCAACCTAATATACAGGTTGTCCCAAAATAATGTGCACACTGTTTGATTGTTAATAACTCTCTTATCATGAGGTATTTCGAAAAGTAGTAGGCGCCATTCTGCAGAGCTGGCTTCAACTTAGATTTACAGTATAGAGCGAATCACAGACCGCTCTTCATTACTGTAGGATTACGGTAGAAACTTGTAACATATGGTGTCACTGTGGAAAAAGCTGCCGTTTCAAAAATTTTCAAAAAGGTGTGAAAACTTGCGCAATAGGGTTCTTAGGGACGCTGACTTCAATACTCAACTATTCTCGAGATTGCGAAGCTTTCTAAACGGTGTAACTGCACTTTTTAGGAACATTGAGAAAATGGCCGCTACTGCTTACCTCGCATAACTCTTCAGTGAAGCATCATAATAAGTTGGGAACTTTACAGTTAGAATCAGCAACTCTCATTGGCCCAGTGTAAAAGTTTTCAGGCTGTTTTGATTCCTTTCTGGGGCAAAATATGGCCTTTCATGGCCCAAAACCCTCTTTCAAGTTTCTACCGTAATCCTACAATAATGAGTGGAGATCGCTGATTCACCATATACTGTAAATCTGAGTTAGTCCTAGCCCTTTCATATGGTACCTTGGAAGCCGCAAGAAACATCGATACTAAAGAGTTATTCAAAATCAAATAGTGTGCACATTATTCTGGGACACCCTGTATAGGGTCTTTAAGGATACGCTGCTATCCATGCCAGCGTTGTGTAACGTTGTGCGATCGATCAGCATGATGCTGAGGATTTTTCGGCACGACGCTGCCACGGTGTTGGCACAGCTTCTGCACACAAGCTAGTCTGATGCAGCCCAACTTTCCAGACTTCTTTTCAAAAAATCTTTATTTTGCAGCTTAACAATGCCATGCTGTACGGTCGCACGTATCACGTAAAATCTGGATAGCTGCGAAGGTGCGCGACGTTCAACGTTGACAGAAGTATCGTAGGAGAAATTGCGAGCAGTAATGTATTAGCTCTTCATTCTTTCTTTTGACGTTAGCCATACTGGTTACTTGTGGATATGAGTGTAGTGCTTCAACAATCCAGATACTACAGCTGCACCACTTTTTTTTGAAGATCCATCGGATGCGTCAGAGATTTTCAGTTTTCCATACTGTGGCAGATTTATAGAATAGACTTGCTATGATGATTTAAAGCGGCTGCAGATATCTCAAAAATTCCGAAGTTTTTTCATTTTTTGAAGTGGGCACAGGGTCAAGCGTGGGGTGTGGGATAACATGATATTTGTATCATATCCATAATTAGCATGTCAATTAAACCCTGTAGACAAAGTTTGAGGAATTCTGAAGATTCAAGATACTAAGCTACCTAAGTGAAATGGTCATTTTCCAGCGTGATTAACTTTGTTTCAAAAACTACTTCTTCTTTGTCCATCTCAGAAATCCCGCTTCAAAAGACCTCCAAACTGTGGAATTAGAAGCCAACCAAACTTCATTTTTCCCATTTTTCGCTTTTAATGGCTGTGCTTTTACCAAATAGTATTCGAGCTAAGAAGACGAATAAGGCTCCAAACATTCCTATGGAATCTACGAGGTTTAGGTTATCGATTCGTATAAATACTGTTCGCTAAAAATGTTTTTTTGATTAGTTAATGGGGTGCGGCTCCCCCACCCCCTTAAAAGCTGCGGCAGCCGCACCTCATTAACTATATCAAAAAGACATGTTTAGTAAACATCATAACTTATAATAACGGGCTAAGGAGGCTGTTTACGTTTTTTTTGTGTGTGTGTCTGTCTGTCCGTTACGAAATTCGAGGAGCGTGTTCCAGCCAACGTCCGGAGCCCAAATTTTGCATGGCGCATGCTAGCAGCATGAAAGTTCTACATGCAAAAGCACGAGCAGATTCGTTGAGTGGATCCCTCAAAAATTGCGCTTCAAAGGGATCCACTTGGCTTCTGGCCAGCAAAATTGGGCCTGTTCCACCATTTTTTGCGAAGTCATGGATATGATTAACAAGCTAATGTACAAGCCACAGACTTTGGCTCGAAAAACTGAACTAAAGTTGATCACTTTACGAAAGTGGAGCCGAAAAAATTAGTGCGTAATGTGTAATGTGCCAAGGCTTTACCAAATTATTCGAGAAGGTTTTTGCACAAAGATGTTGCCCACGGTGATTATCGTCGTTATGGCGACTATCAAACCATAAAAAGTCCAAAAACCTATCCAAATTTGCATCTATTCCTCTTGGAAAGGTTTCATCCACGCGAAAATACCGATCTCACACAAAAAAGCATCCAGAATGAGTAGTTATTTCAATTTATTCGTGAAAGCCTGCATAGTGCGGTGAGTTTCAATGTCATAATTCTGCGGGAATGAGTAAGGCATGCAGAAAGTAGGGCCAGTGCGAGCCTCTGCGAAGCAGATGTGACGCACTGGTTACTCATATGGATCGATAGCCTAGATCTCCTAGTTTTCACAAGAGTGATTTGAGCCTGATTCGTTTTCTTTGCTTTGAGTAATATTTGGTGAAACACAGCCATTAAAAGCGAAAAATAGGAAAAATGAGATTTTGGTTGGCTTCTAATTCCACAGTTTGGAGTCTTTTAAAGCGGGATTTCTGAGATGAACAAAGAAGGAGTAGTGCTTTGCCTTGAGTGCAAAAACGGATAGCTAATTCACCTTTGAAACAAAGTTAATCATGTTGGAAAATGACCGTTTTACTTAGGTGGCCTAGTATCTTGAATCTTCAAAATTCGCTCAAACTTTGTCTACAGGGGTTACTGACAGCTCATTATGGATACGTTGCCCATTATGTTTGACAGAGCCTTCAGGTAATGCTATCTTAGGTATATAATTCAGGGGGGTCTCATTAAGACAGCAATCAGGGGGGGGGGTCGTAACCAGCGATCGTCTGCCACACCCCCTGCTTGACCCTGAGTGGGCAGCTGTATGACTGAATCAGCGCAAACACAAATTACACAGATGATGCTAGTTATGCGATTTCTTCTTCACGCAACATGTTCTCTTTCCTTCAACAATTGCAGAAAAAACGCAAGGTTTGTGAAAAAACTACATTTTGAACTTTTTGAAAAGAAAAAAGAAGCACTTGTTTTTTACCCATCCCCTCTCGAAAATTTTCCCGGAAGCCGGTACTCTGAGAGGAACAAAGC